ACGATACGTATCACGTTGGTAATGCTGAAGGTCCTGGCGCCACCATGTATGCACATTGCGGCGCTGGCGCGCGGCGCTGCGGCTGCGGCCTCTGGGCTCCGTCTGGCGTGTCGGCCGCCGCGGAGGCGCGGTGGGTCTCCGCGAACTCGGCTGCGGCCTCTGGGCTCCGTCTGGCGTGTCGGCCGCCGCGGAGGCGCGGTGGGTCTCCGCGAACTCGACGCGAAGCCTGTGTCGCCAGTCCAGCCAGCGCCGCCGCCATGGGCGGCGCCGACAGAGACATTGCGGCGCGGGAATGGAGGTGCAGGGGTGAGGCGAACAGGGTCGACGGCGGGAGCAGTGCCCCCACCCTTTTTACCTTTCGCAGCGCCTGTGGGGACCTGCTCGCGGAGCTCAGTCAGCGTGACGCGATTCATCGAACCCTGGCCTCTCCCAGAGGGAGCTGAAAAGGCGAGGGGCCCACGTCCGATGCGCTAGCTGCGGCTGAGTGCGCCGGGAGCCTGTGCCCTTCGGCCGGCGAGGCCAGAACTCACGCTGTCGCAATAATACTGCAAGCCTGCGCGCATGTTATCGATCGTGAATGGCCGCTCGTTCTTGGCTCTCCGGGCTTCAGTCATCTGCTCGTAGAACAAAGGATCGGTCAGGAAACGCCCCGCGATGGCGGCGCACGGGTGATACTGGACAGCGTCGCCCTTATCAGCCTCATCACCGCCGAAGCGGCAGGCGCCGGCGGAAGGCCTACCGGCCTCCACCCGCGCGCTATATCGTTTCTCCGCCATGCCTGCAAACCGGCGAATGAAATCTCGCCGTTTTGCCGCGTCGGAGCGGGTGCCCTGAAGGCGAATGGCATGCATGAGCTGCCAGGCGAGATTCCCATTCAAAACGCCGCGGTTCCAAGTATGTACATCCGCAAGAAACTAAATATGAGCAGCTCCGGCCCCCCCCCCGCACTTCTGCAACCCACTGCGCATGTAGCAGGTGTCACCGCGGAAGTTGTTGGGGGCATCGCGGTGGCAGCTTTGACATTGGCGCCTCGCGGTTTGCAAGTCCTCGTCGCCAAATTGGATCAGCCGCAGAGCGCGATTGCGGGCGTTCCCGCCGGCACTCAGCGACCGACCGAGATCATGAGCAGCATGATTCGGAACCAAGTGAGCGCGATCGGTGGCCAGATCGGCGGCCAGAGATTCCAACCCTTTGTCTGTCATCGGAACAGAGAGGCCTCTTGCCGAGATCCGTTCACGAGCATGGTGTGCTGTGGCCGTGCCCTGGTGCTCCGTCAAGAGCCGATCCGCAGTGGCGCGGAGCTCCGCGTCCCTCGCATCTCGCTCGATCCCCTGCAGACCGTCGTCGGAGTCGGTCTGCAGTGCTCTGAGTGATTGTTCCTGGGTCGGAGCAACGGCGGGCGCGGAGCTACTGGGGTCGGCAGCAGGGCCAGGGGCATCAGTAGGGGGCGGATTGGCGTCAGTCCCGACATTGATATTGTCCTTCATCGGGTCGTCTACGAAGTCGCTTTACTTCGGGTTGGACAACGCATCCTTCTCCAATAGGTTGAGCAAGGACTCTAGGGCGAGATGGTTTTTGATAATCTCCGACGCCGATGTCTCCGCGAGACGCTGAGTGGCGTCGTTCTGCATGATATCAAAGAGGCGCGGGATCCTACGGGAAAGCGCGAACTCATCGTCCTCGTTCCAATCCAACTCCGTGACCGTTGTCGAGATGAATCGGTTTTGTCCACAAACGTCTGGAATCTTTTTGGCCCGCGGACTGAATGGGTTGAAAGACGCGCGGCACCAACTCGAGCCAACGTCGAAGCGGAACTCGACATCGAGGTGGCTGTGGTACTGGTACGTGTTACCCGCGTACTTCGCAATACATATCTGTTCCACCTCGCAGAGCGGCGTGAGTAACAATTGGGCACCCTCGATTCCTTCACCAGACTCTCGAATAGGTCAAAGAGATTCGTCCGACAACGTGCCAAAAATAAGCTCTGGGTCTTCGACGACTTGGGTCGTGGTCAGGACCAGCTGTTCATCGTTTCTGACAGCGCGATTGTCGTCGTGCTCTTGCGTGGTGGTCGCGAGCTGCGGGTGTTCCCGCCGGCTTGTCAACAACTATGTCGTCGTCAGGGGTGCCGAGGTGGGCGTCGATGTCAAACGTGCGGAAGTGGTCAAGCAAAGCAGACGGCAAGTCGGCGCGAAGAGGGGTGGCGAAAGGGAAGCCGCGTTGGTCGCTACCCTGATCGTACTGCCAAATATTGGCCCAGAGCGGGACATGACCACGGCGCGGAATGCTCGCGCTGACGTAGGGCCCTTCGTGTTCAATATCGATGACGGGTCCGAATATTCTTCCTCTGGCCAGGATGAGTGACGCCTGTTTGGTGGCAGGGGACGGATTAGCGATAGCTCGGCGCCGAGGCAGGCCGCGCCGACGCGCGTAGATGAAATCACCGAAACGGATGTCACTGTAGCGCGAGGTACGGTCCCAGGTACCTGAAGGGAGATCTCGGACGAGAGGTTCGAAGTACTGCTTCTTGCAATCCTGCGCGATCTTCCACAAGTCGATGCTCGACTGTGCCTCCTGGGAGTCCTGGTCAGCTGGAGTCGGTGCAGGTGTGTCCACTGGCGCAGAGACAGATAGATACGTGTCCAGGCGGAGGACGTCATGCATGCCATCTGCGGCCTCGGTGTGCACGCGCGACTCGGAAACGCACGGTGCGGCAGAAGATGAAGAACTCTTCGCAATTCCAATGGCCACGGAACCACGAGGCTGGGGTGGTGCAACGTCGGGCCGGCGATGCGGCGGAGGCGGTGGCGCACATACTCGCATTCGCAACCGCCCCGTTGTAGGTGTCACCACCGGCGCAACCTCGCAGACTTCATTTTGACTCCGTGGCTCGGGGAGCTTGGCCAACGGAGGATAGGTCCATGGTTTGTTGTGCTCGGGGAAAAACGGACTGCCCCAGACCGTGCGAATGGCTAGAACGGCCATTGGAAGAATAGTCTGGGGGCACATGATGGCACCTCGCTCGCCGAGCCAGAATTCACATCTGGCCACTGACGCCACGTGCATGTCGATAACCACGTACACCTGCTCTTTCTTGTGCTCGAACTTGTAGCCAGGGGCCATGGTGCGTGGGTTCTGCACATCTCCACAGAAGAAAGAACACAAACTGAAGACCGCTTCTTCCCGCGTCTGGCGTTCCGCTCCATGTCCAGCAATAACACCGGCCTTGCGGATGCCCATCCATGCGTCACGGCTAGTAGCATGATGTAAGTACTTCACATCTGTCCATGGAGGGCGCTTCCGTCCCATGTTCCAGGGTCTGCTCATGTTATGCGCAGCGCTGTGTCCGCCGATAGTCCGCATGGCCAGAACCGGACCCTATGCAAAGTCGGAGTCGGCAACGTTTGGGTCGGGACGGCGGACGAAGACCTGGAAACGGGCCTTCTAGTCGTCAATGTGCAACTGGAGGAAGCGGAGGACTGCGACGACGTTGTAATCGCTGGCGCTCTGCCGTGGCTGTCCAAGCCGTTGCACCTGGAGCAGGTGGGGGTGGACCGCCGCCCTGCTAGGGCCGTCGTTGTTCCTCCCAAACACATCCAACGTGATATCGCTGAAGGATCGAGAGCGATTTTCCGCGGCCCAATGTTGAACACCTGGGTGTGTGCACCTGTTGATACGGCGGTCCAGGAATTGATTCAGACCGTTCGCGCCACGGTTATCATGACGTAGGGCTGCTGAAAGTGACTTTCTAAAATATTTTGGAGCCCCCAAGCCATGGCCAGAGTTGCCTGCGCCAGTGAAAATATTCGGGCCCAACTGTTTAGTAGTCACATTGCAAAGAGTGATCCAAACATAGTCGGGGACTCGTCCACTGTTGTGTGAGTCGGGGGCATGTTTGATGACGTACTCATCGTGGTGCCGGCTGTCCGCGTACTCTGTGCTCTCATATCGCACTTTGCATTTGCCGTGTCCGCGCAGAAGAGGGGGGGGGGCCAGAGGAAACGGTCAGGCAACTGCTGGCGGATGGTGTACTCCTTGGGGGCGACGGAGTTGGTGTGCATCTCCAAAGTGTCTGCAGTTTCGTGTTGCGAACGCGCGCGACAATCGTGCGCGCCCATGACCTTCAACTTTGCAGGCTCCGCTGGCGGCACAGAAACGACAGATGGCGGAGCATCTGCGGGCGTTGCCGCCGACGCAGGAACATCCGCGGCGGGGGCCGACGGCGGAGGTGGCGGCGGTGCTGGCAGTTCCTTCGGAGCGGTCGCAGGAAGTGGTGGGGGCGGCAGGGGTGCGGGTGTTGCCGCCGACGCAAGTGGCGTAGGTGGCTGTGGTGGTGGCCGCTTGGATGTTGTACTCACCGCAGCGGCATCTCCCGGTGGCGGGGGATGCGTAGGCGGGGGCGGCGGCGCGGGCACGGAAGCAACAGCATAAATACTCGGCGTCACCGAACGAGGGTCCGGTGGCACGTCCAACCGTGCATCTGCTTGTTCGCGAAACCAAGAGAGTTTCTCGATGTAGACGGCGTTGAAGTCACGTGCTCGATCGAGCACCCCAGTCTCCGCACTCGCCCTGACCGCGGCCTGCAGTCGGATCTTGTCTATGAACTGCTGGAAGACAAACCGCGCGGCTGAATGGCGCACCCGGTAGGTCCTTTTGGCCGCAGTCTTGAAGAAGTCCCGTTCAGGGGACGACCGCGATGCCCAGGCGACGGGGAAATCATTAATCGGGCCATTGAGACGTGGGAAATTGACCGCGTACGAAGAAAAGCACCTCCACTCCGCCTCTGAATTAATGGATTTGCCGTCCAAGCCCTCGCCATAGGCAGTAGAAAATGTCTGGGTATATGCTGGTGGCGCACCCTCCGGTGTCGACGCATCCGGACGTTGGGAAGCCAGGAGAGGAGCCTGGGCGCAGGGGGTCGGGGCGTCGGAGGATGTCCCAATCGCGGGCATTGCCGCCGGCGGGGGTGCGCTAACGGCGGAAGCCGGTGATATCATAGCCTGGAAGGTCTGGTTCATCCACGTAGCCAACTCGTGTTCACCGAGAGCCTTCACCTGTAACGCGGCAAAGCTCTTTTCACGTTGGAACTGCGTGGGCTGCTCCAAGCGCATACGGAATGCTCCGCGCATCTCCTCCGCCTGAGTGTGGCTCTGATATTCATTGACTGGCATAATCAATGGATGGCGGAACGGGAACGGCTGTGTCGGCAGCGAAAGAGGAACCGTAATCGGATTGCGCAGAGTGGCGGGATGCATGAACTGCTGCGTCAACTGCACAAGATTGTGATCCGTCTTGAGTAGGTGCCAGGCGTTGGTGTACGGACGTTCCTGGGTCTCGATCCACTGATCAACCGGCAGGACCGCGATGCCGCGGCAGGAAAACATGGGGTTCATCTCGCCCATGAGTCTGTTGAACCTCTCCGATAGTCCCCGCTGGCGGGCCTTCCCAGGGCCCATAACCGAAGGACAGCGGAAACAGTTCAGAACCTCGACGCAGCGAGGAATATCCACTTTGACGTGCTCTGGGATCACCGTGACCGCGCCGTCTTGGACGGCAACCGCCAACGTTGTCGATCAGGGTGTAGAGGCGCACGAGCTCGAAGAGGTTAGAGCTTCATGCGATTGCCATCGGTAGCAATATCATTGCCACACCACCACAAAAACGCACTCAAACCGCGCCGGTAGTGTCGCTGCTTGACGTAGGCGAGGAGATAGTCTCCCAAATGCGCCCACATGACGTCATTGAGGTCGCGGTACTTATCATGTTTACTGGCCACATCGTACGCCCGAGCCTGGCGGATGTGCTGGAAAATGGTCTGCTGCTCGGCATTGTATGGCGCAAAAGAAGCAAGGGCAAAATCAAGTCGCTGCCGCAACTCTTCATGATACTGCTGTCGCGCATCCGCTGGGTCTGAGGCGCGGGAGTCGCCGCCGGCCTCGGGCGACAGCGGTAAGTGACAACCAATGGGGGTGTCATGCTCGAGCCAGTAACGCTTGCAATCGGGCCGCGGCAACGCCAGAGGGAGGATATCATCGCGCGTCCAGGTCCTGAAGTCCTCCAAAGTGGCGCCAGCGCGATCATGTAAATCGTGCATCCAGGGGCAGACGAGAGATGCGAACGCAAGGTTGGAGACGCCGGCAATTTGCTGCCAGGGGCGGGCGGCGTCCACGTCATCGAGCCCGTGCATGGGGTATAAGGCAACTGCAGCCACTGTGCAAATTCACCCATTTGAACGCGTGGCCGTCGGGTCCAAGGGCATGGGTGACAGCGAGGCCAAAGTCTTCCTTCAACAGAGGGGCCCAACCATGATCACTAATCGTGCACGCGAGGCACCGGCCGCCCGCAAACGCAGACTATCGCATGGCACTGGCCTCCGGGTCAAAGAGATTGTCGCGATTGAAACCGCCCGCATTGTGATCCGTAGGGATGTCGCTGGGGTGAAGCTGATTGGGTTCCCATGGGGTCCAGGTGCGGTCACAAGGGTCCAGCATATGAGTAGCCACGAGCGTAACATCATCATCTGCGGGTGTTGCCACCGACGCAGTCCGACAGACGCTGCCACCGAATCCGCCACGGGCAGTAACCCACGAAGATATCTTGATCTCGTAACTGTGCCAGGCGGTGAGCGCATGAAGGACACGGCGGCGTGTGCGCTGCAGTGACTCGGCAATCTTGCCGATGTGACCCATCATATCCGACGTGCGTGGGGCCGCGGGCATTGTTGACGGCAACTTGACATGCTCACGGGTCTGCTGTGAGAAGTTGCACGCAGCGACACCATGGTCGCCAACGAACGGCGGCATGGAGCCAGCGGCTTACAATCACAAAGTGGCGTCGATGGGCGTGGCAGCTGTTTGCCCGATCAGCGCGTTGCCAACCTTATCCCAGGGCATCCGCAAGACCTTCCGCATGCTGCTGGCGACGCGCGTGCAAACGTCCCGAGGGGGACATTTGGGTGCGTCAGTGCCCACGGCATGTGGGTTTGTCCACAGGAAGTCAGGGTACTGGCGCAACGTGTGATCGATGGCCGAGTCCTTCAGGTATAACCCCAGGACCGTAACCCAGACGAAGAAGAATGCCATCCAGGGCGTCGCGGTGGCAGGATTGGGAAGCAGGGGCTCCTGCCCATCCAGCAGGCTCGCAGTCTCCTCCGCCGCCTGAGCGGGCGTGGTGACCAGACCTTGCTTGCTGGAGCTTAACCAGTACTGTCCGCTCCCATCTGGGCGCTTCTCCGCGCCCGGGGGAGTGCCCAGCTCTCCCGAGCGGTGGCGGCGACGAGCGAGCTGAGACTCAAACGCTGGTCCAGTGCGGATGTCGTCATCGGCGCAAGCAGGAGACATACCTCCGATCTGCCTCCTGTGCAGCTTGCTCGGGGAGGTCGCCGTGCCGGGCCGACTCTCGATCGCGGGCTGGCCTCTGTCGCCAAGGGTTGGGGGGAGAGGCGCGCGCGAAAGCTTGTGACCCTGAAAACAACCGCGGATGCAGGGCGCGCGAGGCGCGCGACGGGCAACGCGCGCGCGAAGGACAGTCGAGAAGGAGGTACTGGTGGCCACAAGGCCCGCCGAAGAGGGGGCGGCTTTGGCTATCTCCAGCGACTTCGCAGCAGCTCTAGTAACCCTTGCCAGAGGTGGGCCTTTCTAGGCTCGAAGTGTTTGGTCATTATGTCGACGGCCTGTCCTTTAGTACCCACATACTTCAGTTGTATGCGTTCCTGCTGGCATGTTTCCGTTGTTCAATCTACTTTGATGCGATGTGCAAGATGTAGATGGCAGGGCGCTGGAGTCCGCCCCTTGTGGGCGATCGTAATGACGGCCTCGTTATCCTCTGCCGCGATAAGATGGGCCACCAGAGGTGGCGTCGTAGTGGTTGGAGGACGAGGACCATGCAGTGCGATGTCATCGTGCATAATGTTGTGGGATGATGTTGGTGATGGCGGTACAGCTCTCGTCGGTGTCCGTGCACGAGGAGAAGAAGCGCGCGTGGGCGGAGCCCGTCGTGGTGATGGTTTGTGACGATTTTTCTTGGCGGCCAGCGATGCACCGCCGGTTGCATTGCGCGCCGCCATCCCAGAATGGCAGTAGAGGCGAACCCTCTGTACGTGGGTCCGCGTCGAGCGCCGCGATTTCCGACTCCGTGGAGGAGTGGGGAACCACGGTCTGCTTCTTACATGCAGAGTTCAGTGGGAAGAACGCGTTCGGCCCCACCAGCGCAACAAAGGCACCAGTGGTCCACTTCGACGTGTTGGCGCAGTTCGCAAACGAGGCATCATGGAAGAGCTCGATCGATATACGACCCGACACATCAACAATCCTTCCGTGTAGGCAGTGTAAGGGGCGTTGACTTTAGGTAACATACGAGTCGGTGTAACCGTTTGCCACAAGCGTAGTTCCACTTCCAAAACTCCCGTGCGAGCATGCAGACAGGGTGCATCATATCAAATCTGCAACATCTGGCAATATACTATATCTTCATGATAACACTGGCGGCGTCCGTCCCGTGGGCGCCGGCGTGATCGTAGTCCCTGTCGATGAGCGAAGTATCCTCAATGCCAGTGGTGTCGGCGCGTGGGAGGGCGTCGAAAGTAACGCCTGTGGCGTCGTTCGCTGGTTTTGCAACCGACTCACAAGATCGAGATGCGGGTTTGCCAACCGGCGCATGAGATCGAGGCTTGGTTGCACGAAGCTTGGGTGAAGATGGCCGTTTTCGTCGGGATCCGGCCATCCCAGGCAAATCGGAAACGCATTCCAAATATCTCTCGATGCACTGGTCAGTAAAGCTAAGCATGTCGTGTCTAATCCCACTTGCGTTGGACGCCGAAGTGTGTGGTTTGTGGTCATGCTCGGGGAGCATGGGTCGGATCGTAATCATGCGTCTGTCGAAGACGTCCTGTGGTAGCGGTCAGGTGTCCTGACCCCGTCCCAGGTAATGGTCGCACTGTGTTGGTGGGTCAATTTCGATACCACTGCGCCGTATGAGGTCCCATCCCAGTTTGAGGTTGTCTTTGGGCCCAGCCATTCCGAAGTTGTCAACGTATACAGACGGGATGAGATCCAGCTCGTCGTGTTTCTATTCGCGTTCCCAACCAGAAATGGGGCGGGGCCCCGCCGACTCAAGGCTCGCGCGACGGTGGCGCTCCCAGAAGACACAGGCCAGTGGGTGGCCGTATAGGGCAAGTCGTAAACGGCACATCGGATTCCTGTACTTCGCCCGAGAAGGAGGTTGTCTCCACTTGGGTAAAGTAATCCACGTGTCCACTGTGTCAACACGACCGTCTCCGCAGAGCAAAGCCTGAGTGTATGCCCCCTGGGCATGACTCTGTTCACCGCCGCTGCCGGGTAACGCAGCCGTCGCATCGCATAGCTTGGAGGCCTCGATATGGGAGGCACTGGATGCGGCGTCGGCGAATGCAGCGGCCAAGCCGCTCTCGTCTTTCATGTTGTCGCCCTGTGCCATAAGGCGCCCCTCGCATGTTTGGAGCTCTGGAACAACATGTTTTACAAAAGAGGGCACCAGGATGTTCGCGAAGTGTACCTTTCTGGATTATTTATGGGCGTTGCGTGCAACATCGTCACTTGCCATAACCGTGCCGAGCATCCATGAATGCTTCTTCTCCAGGCGTTCGTATTCTTTACGAAGCGCATCCTGCGCTCGAGGTTCAGCCGCAATTTCTCTCTTGGTAAGGCTGCATGTGACGAGGTTGCGAGTGACAGTGTATGGTCGTTTCCAGTGGGTGGAATCAAGCTTGCTTCTGTGCTCCGGATGGTGGTCGGATATGCGCGGCATCGTGGGTGCCATGTTGGACTTGTCCATCAGCGCATGCGAGCGTGCAACGCTTGCAATATTTGCATCCGGCTGTGGGCGGTCGTAAACTACGGAGATGATGTCACGAGGTCTGTCGGGAAGCAAAGCATGTGTAATGCGCTTGTCCGTAATGCCAGAAACCTTATCGTCTTTGATGGCGGCGTTGTTGTGTAGGTCGTAAGTGAGACGTCGTTCCACCGTGGTCCAGGGTAGTCCGTCGCCGTCGGAGAGCTGAAAGTGCCGGGTGTTCTTGTCGGTGCGTGTCCAGGCGCGAAGAGCGAGTCGTGGCGGGTCCGCCGTGCGCGAAACACTTCTTTGGCGAAGTCAATCTCCGCCAGTCGTTCTCTTCTGGACATGCTATTCCAGAACTCTGGTCACGCGTGGTCTGGTCGGGAGGTGGCCCGGGCACGAGTCTGGCGGCCGTGGGTGTTGACCTTGCCGTCGGTAATGATCTCAGGCCGCTTGTAAAAGCGCACGACGCCAGTCCAGGGTGCACTGAGATGGCGGTGGTCGTTGTCGGAGCCGTCCCAGACATCGCGGGAGTATTTCTCACCCTTAAAAGTTGACGTGGTTTCAACGCTGCGGGTAGCGCCCCTCTTTTCTACCGGACTGGAACCCCAATGACGTCGTCAGTTGGGCGGAACATTTGAGCCCGGGGTGTCCGGATGTGGCGTGGGGCAGCTTCGCCGCGTCGTTCCCAGTAGTCGGGCTCAGGAGCCGGAGCCGTAGGGTTAAGTGCCCCAGAAGGCTGTGCTCCGGGGCCAGAAACCACTGGCAGTTCGGGTTCGGGTTCGAGAGGTTTCGAATGCTAGGATCACCCCACTCCGTTGGGTACAGTAGAACTGGGTCGTCCTGTGCGGGTGCTCCCAGGGGTCGGGATGTTTGGGACGAGATTACCTCGTGTTTCTCTTGGTTGTGGTGTCGGGGGGGGGGGGCCTTCTCGGACAGGAAGAACCGGTCTTCCGTCAAGAATCGCAGTGTTCTTGACGCGATGTACGTGGCAATGTTGGCATGTTCTCCGTCTGGGTTCTCCGCGTGCGCGGCCGCGTCGATGGCGAGGTGGTCGCCGGGCCAGCGCCCACCAGAGAGGAGGTGGTAACCCATGAACAAGCCTTCTCGCGTTGTCTCGTCAAACGTCGCCGCGGTCTTGTCGAGGTCCAGGTCCGGGCATTTCCAGAAGATGCGAGTGCCAAGAGGAAGAATGCGTCCCATGAAGTATTCTCCAAAGTGAACTTCATGCGAGGAGAAGTCAGTGTATGCATCCAGTGTGGCGGCAACTCCGTGACAGGGTCGAATAGTGAAATTGCGGCCGCAGCGCCATGCCTGCATAATTCACTGCGCATTCGGCCATGCTGTCGGTCTGTGGCCGGCGTGGCTTGCTGGCGT